ACAGAAATTAACTCAAAATGGATCAAAGACCTGAAGGTGAGACCTGAAACTATAAAACTCCTGGGGGAAAATATAGGTAGTACACTATTTGTCATCGGCCATAAAGTATCTTTTCGAATTCCATGTCTACTCAGACAAGGGAAACAAAAGAAAAATAAACAAGTGGGACTTCATCAGATTAAAGAGCTTCTACAAGGCAAATGAAACCAGAATCAAAATGAATAAGCAACCCACCAGCTGGGAAAAAATATTTGCAAACCATATATCCGACAAGGGATTAATTTCCGTAATATATAAAGAACTCACACAACTGAACAACAAAAAAACAAACAACCCAATCAAAAAATGGGCAGAGGAAATGAACAGACACTTCTCCAGAGAAGATATACAGATGGCCAACAGGCACATGAAAAGATGCTCAACATCACTAATCATCAGGGAAATGCAAATCAAAACAACACTAAGATATCATCTTACACCCGTCAGAATGGCTATAATCACCAAGACAAAAAACAACGACTGCTGGAGAGGCTGTGGAAAAATGGGAACCCTAATTCACTGTTGGTGGGAATGCAAACTGGTGCAGCCTCTATGGAAAATAGTATGGAGATTCCTCAAAAAATTAAAAATAGAAATACCCTATGCTCCAGCTATCCCACTGCTGGGTATCTACCCAACGAACCTGAAATCAACAATCCAAAGAGGGTTATGCACCCCTATGTTCATTATTCACTGTAGCCAAGACATGGGAGCAACCCAAGTGTCCCTCAACTGATGATTGGATAGAGAAGACGTGATATATATACACAATGGATACTACTCAGCCATAAAAAAAGACAAAATCGTCCCATTTGCAACAACATGGATGGACCTGGAGGGTATGATGTTAAGCGAAATAAGCCAGAAAGAGAAAGACAAACAGTGCATGATTTCACTCATATGTGGAAGATAAACCAACGCACGGACAGATAGAACTGTTTGGTGGGTACCAGGGGCTAGGGGGGTGGGGGGTGAAGGGATGCATTTATACGGTGACTGACAATAATGTACAACAAAAATTTCACAATAAAAAAAAACCACGATGAACAGACATTGGGTGACTGGAATATGAGTCTGGGTGGTCTATGGAGTTTGTGCCCCTCACATCTCCACCGCCTCCGGTCCTGGAGGAGTTCTAGGTGAGTTCCGAGGAAAAGAGCACAGAGCTGAGCCATAAGCTCCTCGGGTGCTTTGAGGAGTAGGTGTTTCTGGTGATCACTTGATCCTCTGGCCCAGCACAGCACAGGGCACCAAGTAGGTGCTCAGTAAATCAATCTTAAAGGGAAGTCGAGAGAGAGGAACCTGGCCTACCAGGTCCAACCCCAGCTACGTTAGTTGAACAAATCTGGATTCAGATATAAGGGGGCTGGAAACTACAGTGACCAACCGCCAGAAGGCAGCTGGGTCTAGAATTCCCTTCCAGGGCGGAGCTCCCAGCTGCTTTGCTTTGGACCAGAGGTTCAGGGTATCCTGTTGGCTCCCCTGGCTTAACCCCAAGTGTGGACGATATCTGTGATCTGTGCTTCCAGAATGGAAATTCAATTCCGAGCCCCCTTTGGGAGGAACTGGATTCTCTCCTTGTGGTGGTCACTTGGGCTGTGCTGTGTACATGCCCAATTTGGTTCCAGCTATGCACAGGTCCGGTTTGTCAGCTGCTGGCCCCTGTGCAGGCCACGTCTGTGAGGAAGGGTCTCTGCTTGCCTCCTGCTGTTCTCCAGCCACCTACTTTAACTGGCCCTGGCTCATCTAGAACAAAACACAGTTACAGCCTGACCTTTCAGAGCCCAGGGCCCCGGTTAAGAAGTCCTCGGAGGGCTTTCCAAGGCAGCACACTGAGTATGAGGAACTGAGCGTTCGCCTTTCCCTGTTACTCTTTATATTTTCTGAGCAAAGCTTTTCTCCATGCAGGTGCTCAGAAGGAAAAATAAGTAAGCACCCGAGGTTCCAGTGTGGAATTTTTCAATCATCTGAACATTGTTCTTGGCAAGGAATAATTTAAAGCAAACAGCCATTATGGGTTACATTTTTAGACCAGTTAGAAATAGGGGTTTCACCACAATGGTATTCTTTGATCATCCCAATCAGTTTTTTGGTCTTTTTCCCAGGTATCTATCTTGTGCTGAGTAACTGAGGAGGTTACCTATTAGGTTTAGCATCAGTTAAAGGTCTGTCAAAATGTCTGTTTCGAGCCTGGCAGTCAGAGGGAAGCAAAGAAGCATTAACAGAGAGCCGTGCTCTAGGCTGAGACTGAGCTTATGAGGTCCAGACAGTGATGAGATATGTGAGACTCTGAAAAAAGAAAGAAGGGACGAAAGAAAAGCATGTGTTTTGGGTTCTGCGTGCTTCTATCCTGTATTTGTCTAGCTGAGAAAGCTTTAGTGTAAAATAAGTGTTATTTGGCAAGAAGTGGTAGTGCATGCTGACAAACTGATTGTTCTCTTTTATTTAGATAAAAATGAAAATGCATGAGGCATTTTGGTTTTTTTCCTCCTGATAATTAAAAGCGTCTACTTGGCTCCATGCAGAGACGGCCCTTGAAGATTTATCTGAGACACCTGTGCGGCATTGCTCATAGGCCTGCAGCCTGACAGAAGCAGCTACACTTCACCGTGTTCAAAATGCCAGGTCCTGGGAGGGAGTTTTGAAAGGCTTGACTGGGGGTCTCTGTGCCAGACCTGGGTGGGACCCGTGGGTGAGAGTCTTTGAATTTTAATAAAGGGCTTCCCCTCCCTGTCCCACTGATCCAGGGCCTTAGAGCAGCTGGGGAGGCTAAGCAAGCTCTGGGGTGATGAGTAAGGTGAGACCTCTCCCCTGTCTGGGCCTCCGTTTCCCCATCTGGGAGATGAGGGCATTAAACTAACTTTCCTTCGGGTTTTCTGCAAGGTCCATGACCATGCTCCCTCCAACACACACTTTCTCTGGTTCTGATGTTATTGCATTGTGAAGGACGAGGATGTCAGTGTTGTGAAGGGGCTCCGTTTCCTGTGTGGCAGGTCTATTCATTAACTTGACCCAGCACAGGGAGAAATTTGGAAACAAACATGTTAGAATATAGCCAACAGCTAGCAAATTGATGAGTTAGGTCGTTAATTTATGCATTCATTCACTCATCAAACGTTATTGTGTGCTGGCTCTGGCCAGCCTCTGTGCTAGATACTGGAGTATCAGGGACCAAGGCAGCCTGGGCCCTGCCTGCTCCAAGTTGGGTTCAGCCCTGTTTGGACTCCTGTCCTGTTGGCTTAAGGACTTGCCTCAATGTAGGTCCGAGCACAGGAATGTGCTGTGAAATGCAATTCCAACACCCTATTAAAAGGGAAGCATTTGCTTCTGGACACCGAGGTCTTTAAGATTTCTACCTTCAAGAAGCAAGGGATTTGTTTTGACAAAAGAAGTGTAAACAGGATCCTAGTGAATAACATTTCTCATGGCTGCTCCTGCTTTAATCAATTGTATATTTATTGGTGACCTCATAAGTGTCCAGACTGTCCCAGGCTCTGCTGAAGCAAAGCGGGTGGCAGTAGAGAAAGGGATTTTACAGCTCAGCTGGGGAGGCCAGGCCAACTCGGAGGACAGAAAGCAGCCAAGGGAATGAGACAGCATGTATGTTATGCAATCACAGGTGTGGTGCAGGCTGTAGAGCTGAAGGAGCTCAGAACCGGTGAGGGGGCAGCATACTCCGGTCAGGCGTTCTGGAGGAGGAGAGGAGAGGAGGGCATTCCAAATAATTCTTCTGTGCTGGCCCAGCCTGTGGAGTGTAGATGCCCAGTTGATAGCCAGCAGTGAGCTGCCGTGGCTTTCTCAGGCCTGTCTCTGGAGGCTGGAGCTCCCGGACTCGGTGTGCAGAGCAGCCCTGTCCGGTGGCAACGGAATGACCAATAGGCCATGGGTTCATCCAGGTTACCAGGGTACCCCTCTCCCCTGTGGACCCCTGGAGGTTGCCAAATGGTACCATTAGTGGGACGTATCCACTTCTCGGTGTCCCAGGTCCTGGCCTGCTGCTGCCATGGATCCCTAGAAGCTAAAAGATACACAAGCGTTGTTCTACTGTTGAAGAGCTGAGTTCAAATCCCATCTCTGCCTCTTGCCAGCTCTGGGACCTTGTGCCAATTCCTTCTCAGCACCTCACTTTCTGGCATCTAAACAATAGGCTGATAATAGCACCTGGTTTCATGGGGCTGATTGCACGAGACAAGCACGTAAAGTGCCGAGCACGGTGCCCAGTATGCAGCAAGCACCCCATCCATGTTAGCTGCTATCGTTTCAGTTATGATGATACATCAGGTCGCCAAGTGGGAAGTGCACTGTCTGACCCAAAGGTCATCTCTTTCTGAAAGCTAGCTCTGCCAGACTCTATAAAAATCCATGTATAAAATCCCGACCCCCTTGAGCTATAATTCAGCTAAGCACAGTCTGAATCGAGACTAGCTTTCTCTATGCTAGTTTCTGCTGAAGCAACGTGCCTCTCCCCAGTTTCTCATCTGGAACATGGGCACTGGGTGAACTCCGTGTGCCTGAATGTATCCATCTCTTCCTTCTCCAGGTCCATCTCTTCCCAACTCCAGCCCCTCCAGAGTCTGGGGCTGAGCTAAGCAAAGATGATTTGAAGGAAGGAGTTGACATGGTTTCACATTTAGTTACCAGACTCGGATCAGGTTGCAGTGGGCCAAGCCCTCCATGCTCTGTTCCTTGGAGAAAGAGTTTGGGTGTGTCATGTGGCCAGTCGTCTAGGAGCCATGATGAGGCAGCGGGGGGAACTGGAGGTTTATCTGAGAGAAAATTCCAGAAACAGAATAACTGCCACCAAACATTTGTCCTCTATCCCAAGAATGAGGACCAAGGCGCTGGTATTACAGAAAGACAGGTTTGGTCTCAAAATAAGAATGGACTTTTAACACGGTTGATAACGAGCACTGGACACTGTAGGCAACATGCTTCCTGTGCCAAGAAGTGCACAGACCAAGGTTGGCTGAGCATCTGGTGGGGATCATGTTGAGAGGCTGGGGTGGCTGGGGGTCTTAGGACCCTGAGACCTCAGTACTTTCGGGAGACGGTCAGCTGCCTCCACCTTCCCAGGCATTCAGGTCTCAAGTGCTGTTGGCCCAGCTGGGAGCCTCGCTAGGCCCTGGCCGGTGGCCCAGGAAGAAGGAGGGCCGCCTCTCTGCACCGATGCTGCTGTTTGCCTTGGCGCCTGCTTGCGCAGCCACTTCCTGACCCCGCCCTCCCGTGGCTTTTGCTTCATTAGCTCATAGCTCCAGGTGAAGCCAGTCCCCAGGGCCCTGGACAGCAAGGTGGGCCTGGCCCTGAGGCTTCAGAGCCCTCATGCCTCTTCCCCAGCCAGCCAGGGGGGCTCGCAGTAAGGATGGGCCAGCATTGCCATCCAAGGGTAAACCCAAAAACCATTAGAGGGAGACTGAGGCACAGAGGGGGGAGTAATGACCCTGGGGCCCCGCAGCAAACTGGCAGGGCTACAATGGAAGCGGAGCCTCAGGCCCCCAGAACAGCCCCCTTCCCAGGCCTTCCAGACATGCTGTCTTTAAGCTCCTGCTCGCTCTGCTCCCGCTCGGGCCACAGTGCAGGTGCGAGAGGGAAGGCAGAGGGATGGGCTTAGGGACCCCAACAGTCTGAACTCTCGTCGGGGCTCTGATGCTGGAGAAAGGCCCCATGCCCTGTAATGTCTGCATCCCCACCAGGCTTCTCCCTGTGGAGCTGCCAAATTGGGAGGCAGGGACATTCAAGCTCCCCTCGTTCATCAGCCTCATTTTGTAAAAGGGGAAACCAGGGTCCAGAGAGGAGAATGATGGGTCTGAGCTCATACAGGGGTCAGAGGAGGAGCTGGAGGCAAAGTCCTGTCCCCTGACCCCAGCCCCATGGCCCGGCTGAGCTGTCCTGAAAGCAGGGAGTCAGGCAGAGCCCCGCGCTTAGGCTGCCTTGCTTCTGGGGGCCCTGGGCCCAGCCTCGCCTCGGCCGGCCACCTGGAGCCTTCTGTTTCCCATGGACGGCAGCCCTGCTAAGAGCAACTCTATCATCTAGCTGCTTCTGGGAGACCTTCACTTCTGGCAGATAAACACCGGGGCGTGTCGAGGGAGTGGGGCCTGAGATCGCCACTCCCTGGTTTGGAAGCGTGTGGCTTCCACATCACAGTGATTTGTTCATTCATTTGTTCAGTCATTCATTCGTTTTACATACACACCTGGACTCCTGCTCCGGCCAGGCACTGTCCAGGTGCTGGGGATAAAATGGCGAACTAGACTTCAGTTAACGCGGCGTTGGGATCACCCTGGAGCTTCAGAAACCGCAGATACCATCTTCAGAGATTCGATGCAGTTGGCTGGGTGTGGCCTGGGTATCTCAATTTCTAAAACTGTCTGTATCTGCATGGAAATTTCTTTTCAAAAAGAAAAAACGCTTGTAGAAAGAACGTGGCTATGGGAAGATAGTGTCACCAGGATGGTTGTGAGCAGAACGGCAGTGAGGGAAGGCCCAGGGTCTCCGTGAAGGGAGCAGCATTCACCATCAACCGAGGCTCTCCCAGGGGCAGGCATCACAGCAGGCTGGGTCCCAGCTCACCGGAAAGTTCTGCTGCAGGCCAGGCAGGGTGAAGCACCCACTGTTACCCAGGCCCTGCACCTGAAGGGGGACCTGTCTGGAGGTCACGGCTCCTTTGCTTCCCAGGACCTTCCTAATCTCAGTGATTTTGCAGCTGTGTTTTTAGAAGAGTTGTTTTCCCCTCATTGTAAAAATATTGAAAATCTAGAGAAATAGAAACAACCACAGGTCACACATCGGTGTGTTTCTTTTTTGCCCGGCATTTTCAAGAGCCACCGCTGCTGATGGATGAGGTGCCTTTTCTGCTGGTGCCTCTGGGTTCTCAGGCTCTCTCTGTGCTAGCATGGAAGGAAGGCGTACAGTCACAGAGTGGCGGGCTTTCGGACGCAGGAGAGGGCTGAGAGCTCGGTGGTTCAGACCTCTCATTTAGAGACAGCACATAAAAGTCAGGCCTGGAACCCAGGTCCCAATTCTGTCCCTTGCTCTTTCCAGTATGCCAGGCTTATTTTCACCACTGCCTGCACAGTGTCCGTGTCTACCTGGCTGTTCCCTGGGTCCACCTATACCATCCCACTCCTCTATTTACCCACCCAATTCTTTGTCTCATTCCCACTACAAGGGAATATCTAAATTCTTTGCTTTTCTAGGCCTCTATAAGATAGAAGTCACTGCCTGACTCTGGGGCCCTGTGGTGACAGCATACGCTTCCTGTCCTGTCCAGCTCAGCCCTCAGCACTTGCCCAGACTCCCAGGTTTCCTGGGCTTTGACTGCACATGATGGGTTCAAGCCAGAGACCTGGACCCTCATCACAGTGGCGGGGCTGGAAGGGGCTTCTGCACTGGACCCCCCACAAGCTCACTTCAACCCACCCCTCCTCCACCTTTCACAAATCCACAGACGAGACCCTCCTTTCCTCCCCCCCACCCCTAATTCCCCCCCTTCCCCACCAGGCAGCCAGCCCCAAACACCCTACAACTCAGTGGTTTTTACATGTGGCTTGTCCAGGTGCCACCAACCTTTGTAAGACCCGGGCTTAATAGTTTTGATCCTATAGACAGGTGACCAGTACCAGACATGCAGTAAAACTAGAGACCAGAATGAGGGGGACAAAAGGTACAGGGAGATGGGGCTTGGTTTGGGTGTGTTTGTGTAATGTGCCATATGTCATTTTTTATTCACATAAAAACATCTTTCTTGAAGTAATAGGAACCCACTCAGCTATTGCTAACCAAATACCAAATGTTTCCCTTTTCCTCTCTTGCTCTTTCCAAGAGGCAGCTGCGAAGGATTGCCGTTATCCGTGATGCTATCTTGCCTTTCAAACGTCAGAGAGCTTTTTCCTCGGAGCAAACGCCCGATTGTTTTTTCCAGCTTTGGCAGGAATTTTCAAGAGAAAGCTGTTTTCAAATCACTTTTCTGTTTATTGCTTTAGACCCGGACAATGGCGAAGTGAAGGGCTCGTGGCCTTTGTCTAGTCCAGTCTCCTCTCATGTGTTTTCCTCAATTGCCTTAGGACCTTTCAGGACCCCCCTCAAAAAAAAACCGGAAAGCAAAAAAACCCTGGTATTTCAGTAAAACAGTGTTGAAGAAAGTAAAATAAAACAAAACAAAATGAAATAAAGCTCCAGTTGGTAGAGAGGTGGCTCCAGGAGTCACTTTTGGACACCCCCATCCCCCCATGTACGATAAACATGTGGTTTCATTTCCAAGGGCTCCAGTGTTAGCTGTTCCATTTCCTCAGGAAGCTGCGTTTCTTGCTCTTACTTCTGAAATGGAACGTGCATTTTCATTGGCCCGAGTTCAAGGAGTGCCTGGGGCAACAATGAAAACAGTCCCAAGCAGGTTTCTGTCGTTGACACCCGCCCCCCCGCCCCAGTCCCCAGCCGTGACGTCTCCTTGCTCCCCATCCGCTAGGGACTGACGCCAACTCTCCAGGCCAGGGAGGGAGGGGTGGTGGCCTTGTTCACTTGGGGTTTGTGGCCATCTGAGGGGAGCCATGCTGTCCTCACTGCCTGTGTTCTGGCCCTCGGTTGGGAAAATCTGGTCACCCTCCAAGCGTCCACATACCACAGGCTCCTAATTAAGAAAGTATGTTCCCATTTCATGTCACTCGAAAAGAATGAAAACAGTGACAGCATTTATTTATCTTCACTATCAATATCATTCGTGTTTCTGAGTCCACTGGGGGTTATGAGTCTTGAAGGAATCAACTGTGGGTTGTGAGATTTTAACCTCGGCCATGTGCTGTGGGGACACATGTGGCTTCTTTCTGAGAGGGAGGCTCGAAGTGAAGGAGAGAAGGGCCAGCAGAGCCCTGGCCCCTGCCCTTCCGGAGCTTGGAGTCCACTGGCAGCGACGGGAGGAGCAACTTTTGCCTTCTTTGGTGCTGATGTGGAGTCAAGCCCCCTTTCACTGGCTACATCCTATACTCTTTCTGAATCTTCAGACGTAAAAGCCACCATTTCTTGCGTCTTGTAGAGGAGATATGATCTGTCCGAATGGCTCGTGTTTATGTAGGACCTGGTACGTGCTCAGACTGGGCTAGGGGCTCCCTTATGTTGCTCACCCTCAGCAGCGGTGGGCTGACTGCCCTTGTGATACAGGAGGCAGCTGGGCCTCAGGTTAAGGGACTTGCCCAAGACTAGATAGCAAGTTAGTCCGTTTGGGCTGCTACAACAGAATACCACACACTGGGTGGATTATAAACAAGAGAAATTTATTTCTCACAGTTCCGGAGGCTGGGAAGTCCAAGATCAAGGTGCTGGCAATTCTGTGACTAATGAGAGCCTGCTTTCTGGTTCATAAATGACTGTCTTCTCACTGTGTCCTCACATAGCAGAAAGGGCAAGGGAGCTCCCCGGGGTCCCTTTTAAGGGCACTAATCCCATTCATGAAGCCTCCACCCTCATGACCAGATCACCTCCCAAAGGTTTCACCTCCTAATACCATCACTTGGGGGTTAGGTTTCTACATATGAATTTTGAGGGGACACAAACATTCAGTCTATAGTAGGTATCCTTGACAATGGGCCTGAGGTGGTGGTACCATCAGTGGCTTATTATGAGAACAGGCGAGGAGACAAGGGGAGGCTCTCAGCAAAGCACCCAAACATCACAGGTGGTGGGTTGAGCATGGGGCCCCTTGTTGTACCTTCTGTGGTTGACAATTTGGTAAGTGTCGTGCCTGACCTGGGTAAGGGAGAATTGGAAGTGACTTGGCTGTGCCTAGACCTTCAGGACATGTGTGCTGCATATGTGTTTGCATGTGCATGCATGCTGGCACAAGTATTCTCAGTTACATTCATTACCAAGTAAACTTACTCGCTGACCCCCTCACTTAACACCATGTGCTGATTCCTGTCCCTTTGTGCCTTACCTCCCACCCCCAAGCAACTTACCACTTTCTGTCCATTTTCTTTAAACCATTCTGTTTTTAAAAAGTTATTGTGGTAAGAACATTGTAAAAGAACATTTAACATGAGATCTACCCTCAATAAACTTTTAAGTGCACAATACAGTATTGTTAACTATAGGCACGATGTTGTACAGCAGATCTCTAGAACCTAATCATCTTGCACAACTGAAACTTGAAACCTATTGAACAGCAACTCCCCATTTCCCCCTCCCCCAGTCCCTAGCAACCACCATTTTACTCTCTGCTTCTAGGAGTTGGACTGTTTTAGATACCTCACATATGTGGAATCATGCAGTATTTGTCCTGTGATGGGCTTATTTCACTTACCATGACGTCCTCAAGGTTCATCCATGTGTTGTTGCAT